ATAAGGGCCTAGATGTTAATTCTACACAACTTTTCCTGTTATTTAATAAATATCACATCAGTTTTTACTTTTATTTAAATTTGGAATTATTTAGACCTGGAATTATTTTGTAATTATCGGTATAAATGGGATATGGGCAGCGGTTTACCCCTCGAAACACGCCTACTGTTTGAGCTCCTCCTCAAGCCACACACAAGCGTCAAGATCGAGATGATTGGTCGGTTCGTCCAAAAGTAACAAATGAGGTTTGACGTAAAGAGCCCGAGCCAATGCGATTCTCATTCGCCAACCACCGCTAAAGTCCTTCGTTTTCTTGTTTTGCATTTCTCGAGTGAACCCCAAACCATGGAGGATGTTGGCTGCACGTGCTTCGGCGGTGTCGGCCGAAATCTCCTCCAGACGCTCGTAGATGTCCATGAGCTGCTCCTGCGATTCTGTTTCACACACAAAAAAAAACAATTTATAAGTGAGAAATGTGAAACAGATACTGAAATATTTAACTTAAATTTCATAAATAGGCAACCAATAATACAATAATTTGTTAATTTCTTGCTGTTGTTCCCATTATTATACAATTTAATTTTTTTGAAACTTTCGATAGTCAAGCATCGACTATGATTATTCGATTTAGAATAGTTAATACTCTACTTTATGAAATGTATAATATGTGGCCTATTTTGGCTCCTTCAGGCGGGAACAGTTAAAATGGGTACCCTGTATAGAAATAAAAAAATCAGTACATATTTTTCGAAATAGAGAATAACTTCAATTTTTTGAAGTTATCGATCAAATTTTACTACCCTGTACACAATAGTTATAAAAATAACACTCATAAAGAGTAAAAAAGGTCACGTGTTTCGCATATAATTTTACAACTTCGCATAAAAACATTATACAAGGTGTTAAAAAAGATTGTAAAATATTTAAGAGGTAATAGAATTTTTACTAAAAGCTTTTCTTTTTTGTTTGAACAGACTGCAAATAAATGTTTCAAAAAACGAATAATTTTCGACATCTCCGAAACCATTACTTTGCGGACCCATGTTTTAAACTTTTCTGTTTGTTTTGGTCCATACTATTCTTGAAATATTTTACAATCTTTTTTTAACACTCTGTATGTATTTTTATTACATAAAATACAATAACTCAAAATCAATAGAGATTAGATTATTACAGTTCGTGTTTTTTTCATGAAAGAAAAAATTGTTTCCCCCAGAATTAATTACATACAGGATGCATAGTTGTTTTATTTTATTTCTATTTATCTTGTTTTTTTTTCGATAAAAACTGAATAAAATGTAAATAGTTGTAATCCTTTGATCGTAGCCTTTATAAAGAAAGGTTTTTATAGGTTATAAAAGGTTGCCATTTAAAAAATTATAAATTTTGCAACTCGAAAAATAAAAGAAATTTCGAAAAATTTTATTCATACATACTAATAATTTTTTTGGTAAATTAATCAGTTTATACAAAAAAACGCTTGGTTCCATAATTTTCGTGTTAAAAAAATAAACACTTGAGGTTAGTTGGCTTCCAAAAAATTTCATTTGCAATTTTAATCTCTATAATAAGTTGATGAGATTAAATAAATACAAAAAATGACCGAATTCTTGTCCAGAGTAAGATGGATAAAGTTAGAAAAAAAAATGTGAAAGAACCGTTGCCAATATTTTAATATTTTTATATTCATTTTAAATTCTTCTAAATTATGTATTTTTTACATATTTTCCCCATCTGTTAGCTTCATTTTCAATACAGACACTTGGTGGTTTATTTTTTAATTAGTTCAATTTTATTATTCCTTTTATTTTTCTTTATTTTCAAACAGCCAAGTTTCAATAAAAGTACATAAATTAAAAATGTATGTGTTAAAATATCAATTTATACTAGAATCTTAGATAAAAAAATGTTTTCAACATTTTTGGCAAGTGTTAAGACATTATTATATTTTTTTTAATATTGACAATACTGATTTTTTACAATTTTTTTAGTTAATATCGTTGATTGTTGCAGGAGACGTTTTCACGACTCAGCTTCAAAAACTCAAGAAATTCGAATTTTGTCAACTCGTCTCAAAACGTTATTTAGTTCAATTATAAAATTGTCGATTTTTTTTATTTTTGAAAAAAATAATTGCTTCAATACCAATTTTAGGCTGAAATGAAGCAATTTATGCTATTTTCAATCGATTTGGCATAATTTTAAGCAAAAAATCAATTTGAATCATGTCGATGCCACTCGACTTCCTAGAACATTTTACATAGTCAGTCCGAAGACTAAATTACAAAATAAAAAAAAGTCAAAATTTTTAAACACTTGCTAAAAAAACATTTCTCTGAATGTTTCTTATTTTCTCCTCTACTAAATAAAATGAAACAATGTTTTTTTTTAATAATTAAAAGAGAATACTATCGTATCAACAAGAAATTACTCCCTAGAATTTAGGGAAATTCGTGAATAGGTTGTCTTAAATTTGGTTAGGTTGGTTTCTGGTGACAAACAAAAGATATCGTAACTAGTGTCAAAATTTAGGTCAAGTCACCTGTCAGCTTGTATGGATAATTTAAATGATAGTTGACAGAAAACGTCAACTGTCAACAACAAGGGATAACCAACCCTAGGCATTCAAAATTACCTCTGAAAATTCTAGTTACAAACAACATGAAAAACGTAAATTTCCTAAAAATTCAAATCCTAGGTGGCAATTTCTTGTTGACAAATGTGTATTTAAATAAAATATCCCATATTTGGCCACTCTTAAAACTCCAAATTTCCCCAAAAGCCGCGACTCACCATCATCTTCGCACGCCACCAATTCCTCAGCCAACTTCTCCAACCTCACTCTCTCCTCATCAACCTCCATGACACACTGCAGAGCACTCTTATCCGACGCTGGCATTTCCCTAGTCAAATGAAAAATATCAATATGTTCAGGAATGGGCACTTCTCTGTTCCCCAATACCGCCAAAATAGTCGACTTTCCTGCAGAAAACCAACCAATCACAAACCCATCTCACCCCTAAGCCCACTCACCGCTCCCATTGAGCCCCAACAACCCATACCGCCTTCCACAATTCAACTCGAGCATAGCGTCTTGCAGCATCTCACTCCCATGAAAAGTAATGGAAAAATTATCGATTTTGATGTCCCTTGACTTGGGATGGACGGCCAAACTCCCCGTGCAAGCCCTCGCTTCGGCATTCAGCCTCGCATCGGCCTCAAGTTTCGCGCAAAGCGCCTCTTCGGCGCTCAACTCGACTGTGCCGTTTTGCACAGAATCGCCGTTCTGGGACGACGTCTGCTCCTTGCTGGGGGGCTTCTTGCCGGCTTGACGCGCCTTCGCAGCCCCCTTTTTGCGCTGCTGCTCGCGTTTCTTCGCGTCGGAAGGCATGGTGAATCAACCTACAAGCAAAAACACGAAATGACTGATTTCTCTTATAACATGCTCGAGCAAACGAAAAGTGACGATTTGTGAAAATTATACTTCAAAATGAATTAAACCTTGTCATTTTATTATACTTACAATTTACAGAGAGTTTTATCAATTTTACACAAATTTCACGTGTAACCGCTCACTGGAAAGACAGCCGGAGAGAATCTAGGGACTTTCAGTTTTCTAGGGATTTTCACAATTTAGGTTCTCGTGTTATTCCATTACGTCACTATGAATTTTTCCCGCCCTTTTTTGGTAAATTAAGAATTGTACTTTGTAACAGTTTATTGTTTCGTAAAATATAAAAGAAAAAGCTGTCAACAAAAGTGTTACATTTACGTTTTTGTAAACAATGATACACGAGTTTTTGATTTGGGAAAATAAAGAATAAAAGTTTAAGATTCAACAATTAGGTACTTAGAAGTATAACATTTAACACGAATTTAATAATGTTTCCTATTGAGAAGCTTTCTAAAACTATATATTTGCAGGTATGGAATTCTTAAATGAGTATATTAAACTTAATGTAAAATAAATAATTTAACTAATAAATATACAATCGGCTCCAATGTGGGTCTATTCTGATCCACAAAATGAACCTCAAATAATAAAATTGCAACTTTCCTAAAGACAGAGAACACAAAATATAATACAAATCACAATCTTACAATCTTGTACGTGTCATCATTAAAACCCAATTGTTTTAAAAATGATCCAATTATACAAAATTGTGAGCAAAAGGCAACCACACATAATAAGTTTGTTTTTCCTTAAGCTTTAACTACCATATCCGATTTTCAGTTTGTGGGGCTCTCATAACGCCAACTCCGCCTCCTAGTCTTCTATAATTCATAGAACCGCAAAGCCTCCATTGATTTTGTTCAGTATCATAGAATTCAATTGTTTTTAAATAGGCCGTTCCGTCGAAGCCCCCTACTGCATACAATTGACCGTTAACCACCGCTAAACCGACCTAAAATCATAATTAAATAAAAATTTCAATTAATAATCCCCCCCCCCCTTACCCCACTTCTTCTTGACGTCATCGCCACAATGGGGCTCCAAGTGTTCGTATGTGGATTATACCGTTCAGCACTTGACAATTCCATACAGTCATCTCTTCCACCAACCGCATAAATTAAATTATTAAAGACAGCACAGCCTAAATGTTTTCTTCGTGTTGACATTGGACTAACCAGAGCCCACTTGTTGTGTCTTGGATCGTATCGTTCAACTGTATTTAATGGTGATTGACCATCGGAGCCCCCTATTGCGTATAAGTAACCACCTAAGACTGCAACGGCCACTCCAAGACGTCTCGTCGTCATGGGGGCTACTTTCGTCCATTTGTTCTCTTTAGGATCGTAGCGTTCGACGTGATTCAAACACTGGACCCCATCTTGACCCCCCACGGCGTAGAGGAGGTTGTCGAGGACGGCCACACCGACACTTGTACGACAGGAGGTCGTAGGGGCCACGTCGCATGACCATTGGTCCGTTTGGGGGTCGTATCTGCACAAAATAAACAATGAAACTCGAAACGAATAAACTCGAAAATATTTGTTTCAGTAGCAAAATTATTACTTTAAAAAAACTCTTATTCCTACGAGTATAAGTAATTTGTAAACTAAAGTCAATTTTTATAAGAAAACAATCAAAATTAATATTGAAAAACACTAATACAAGATGTTTGAAAACCAAATTAGTTTAATTTATTTGCAAGCACGTATTTAATATAATTGTTTCTAGTCGGCTCTAAAAAATATTGAATTAACAAAACCTCAAATGTTAATTTATTTCAATTGACAGCTGTCACTATTGACAGAACTATCTGGTTTAAAAAGAGTAGAGCGGCACAGGAACATTTACATGTAAAAAATTCCATAGGCGACTAGATGAAAATCATTTTGAAATACGTTGTATAACGTGTCTAAGTACACCAATTTTTGAAGTTTTTAAAGAATAAAAAAAGTTACATTTCACCTTTGATTCATGAGACTTTGCTGATTACTAATATTTCAAGACATTTCCGGTTGTTTCTTAAGTTTGTACTATATACAGGTTGCGCCAGAAATTTTTATAGATAATTTTTTTTTAACATTTTTTCCAAGTTCCTGGTACCTTATCTTATATGGCGTTTTTCTCTGGAGCGCAAATTCTGGCGCATCCTGTATACTCTCTTTTTCATATTAATGTGCATCAAGTAGGTTGTAGAAGTCTAAATGCATCTTTAATTTAAAGGCCGATTCACATAATAATGCCGCTTTAAAAAATATTGAATCCAATTAACCTCAATTTTTTATTTACACTTAATGCAAAAAAAATTATAATAGACTACCAAGTATGGACAAAATGTCCATACTTTAAGAATAAAATTTTTGAAATTTCTTTTAGTTTTCAGAGTTTTAGTTAACATGAAAATCCAAGAAACTTCCAATAAACACTTGATTCTTTGCAAAAACCAAAAAGTTTTCGTAAAATCAAGACTTGTTTTGTATGTCAAGCCTTGAATTTTTGTTTTTGTTTTTGATTTGGGATAAGAATGTCCTTAGTAAATATAGCCATCAAAGATAAAATTTACTTAAAAATAAAATGTGTTCGAATAATCTAATATTTTAACAACTGCAGATTTTCTGTCATCACAATCGATAATTCACTTTTAAACAAAGAACCTAATAATTTGCACTTTTTAAACGTTGTTTTTACTGTAAATCTTGAAATACTACATTTTTTCTTTTTATTGTGTACACAATTTTTTTTATTGTTTTCCAAAATTAAAACGTAAAAAAGCATGAAACCAAACGTAGTTTGCATAAACTAACAACTA